TATTTTCAACATCTAGCAGTTCTTGTCATTCAGTTACAAAATACTTTCCAGATTACATTTTTTTCATAATATGTACAGTGTACATGTATGATTTGTTTATTCAAATGTATCATTTCGAGACCTGAAACATATGTTACATTGAAACCTTAAAAATCGGGGGGGGGGGGGGGGGGGGGGGAGATGGGCATTCAGAGCGAGTCAATATGAAGTAAGGGGCTGCAGATGTCTTAAATGAATAAGTTATTATTAGAATAATACTAAGCAATTGTTTCATAATTTCAGACGCAATGCAGTAGATGCATTCAGAGTKAATGTCATCCACGCAAGGGGGCAGATTCGTTCACCCGTCACCAACATTGCAAGAACTAGCTTTTTTCACATCCGTCAAGGCAATGTGTGGATTGCTGCCGTCACAAGGCAGAATGTCAATGCTGCTCTRGTATTTGAGTTCCTGTTCCGAACAGTAGACATAATGATCTCGTACTTTGGTAAAGTTACAGAAGAAGGAATCAAGAACAATTTYGTCCTTATCTATGAGCTTTTGGATGGTGAGTAAATATACTAAAAAAATATATATTTTAAAGTTCTTCTGTGTCTATTCCTAGCTCCATAATACTTGGAGGGTCATCATGGATTGGTTTAAAAAACAATAGATGGTGCTCCTAACAATAAAACAAAACCTAACCTTACAATAGAGGTTCTYTGTACTAATTAAAAATCAGGTTCTGGTTGGCTCTTGACAACTGTAATACTCCAATTTCGAGTTCTGGTTTGCTCTGTGTTAGCCTCAAAACCAAGTAACATATTCTTTTGTCTCATTGATAGCTCGAAAAAATGCATGGAATTTGTGAAGAAAGACAATAAATTTGATTTGTAATCTCACACTTTTACGCTCACAATAAGGAATATTTTGCGCACAAATGAGGCTAACACAGAGCATTGGAGAATTCGAAACTGGAGTATTGAATCATTCTAATAAATGCATGCTGATGGATGGAATTTTTTTTTTGTACAGAAATTGCAGATTACGGATATCCCCAGAAAACAGACACAGCAATCTTGAAAACTTTCATCACACAGCAAGGTGTCAAAACTCAGGTAAGAAGCAGA